CGAATCCCAGAACGTTGGCGTACCGAGTGCCCGAAGAAATTAATACAAAAGAAATTGCATGGCTTCTGTTTCTTTTGATTTCGAAGCACATCTTTTTTGGCCCTGTGCGCGTGATCATTGTTCCTGCTTCAGTCGTTGCAGTCTGGCTTTATTTGCCAGTAAAATTGTTTTACTTTAAATCAGTTAATTGGCTATTACTTCGATTGTTGGTTTATGATGCTAAGCAAGAAACTGATGTCTGGCAAGCATAAGCATATTAGCTTTCTCCACAGCATCTAGTTTCTTGCTTAGCATCATAATTCCATGTAACCCCGTTCTTTGTAATAATCCTGGTCCTTGTATCCAGTTCCTGCCTCCGGCACGACCTCATTTCGCTTGTAGCAAGCATCCCTATCCTTTCCCATCTTTTACGACTTCCTGAAACTTAAAATAGCACCCCGGCCTTCCCAGCTGCATCTGTCTTTTCTCAGCCATCACTGTCAACGCAACATGTTCGATTTACAGCTTTCGCTAGTAAAATGGTACAAGCGCAAGTTGGAGAGTCAAACCCCTCACCCGTTTGATTTAAAAATACCCGCAGAAAGAAGACTTGCTGGTTGGTTTATTGCTTTTAGCCATACGTGGGACTAATTTTGAGTTATGCGTTTTTTGCAATGCAAAAACGCATATTGTCGAGGGGTTGTCTGTGTGTGTATGTGTGTAACTGTGTATATGTGTGTAACTGTGTGTATGTGTGTAACTGTGTGTGTATGTGTGTATGTCTGTACCGATTTTTCATCTCGAGACTTACAAAAGCCACAAGGGTAAAACTTTGGCGACTTGATCTACACGCATATGCGCCCCCATCCCGAAAAAAGACGCATTTTGGCTGTTAAACTATTAACTAGGGACTCACGGGGAGATATTCACTCTTCAAGGTCTCGAATTCAGCTTTCATGCGCTGGTGAGTGATTTTTAACTATTTTCCAATGTTTGAACTTTTTTTGCATAGACAAAAGTACAAAGCAGTGAAAATCATTAATAGGCAATCATACAGTGGGCTGAATTGCACAAAACGCATGATCGCACCAGCTAGTCTGGTGCGCATTGCTATTTATTCTTTTCTATGAAAATGTGAAATATGAGCGGGAAGGCAGTGACTTCGACGTAACATTCTGGTCAGTGCTGTGCTATAAATTATTTCTCCCATCTGTTCATTCTACTATTTTTTGCTCCAGCAACTCCCCTTCTTCTGTTCTCAGATGGAGTCGTCACTGTTTAGATGTCCTGCATATGGCATTGGCATGCAGTTAGGCTTCGTAGGTTGCACAGTTGATGTACTGCGCCCTTTGTGCTCTCTGATATGTTGGCACGTTAATTTACCGCATGATTTTGTTCTGTAAGTTGACATATCTTGCACTGTTGTGAATGCTCGTTTGAGGTGCTCGGAGAGGGGCAGATGGTGCTGCACGTGCTTATCGATGGCTGTAGGCAGCTGGAAGTGGACGATCTCTCGGCGCTCTTCCTGGACACCTTCCTCGCCGCACTCTCGCCACAGCAGCCACTACAGCACTTTTACTGTACGTATGATTTTTGCCAATTTTAATTGCTGTTGGGGGGAGATTCCCGTCGCTGTGCTTGTGAAAATAGGCTGCTCTGGAACCGGTCCATAGTAACCCATTGTTGATAGAAACAATCATTATCAAAGGAGGGAGCATCGATTTGAGCACCAAAATGACCAGTGGACCGAGTACAATAGTTGAATTCGCAGAGAAGCGCCGAGGTGCATCGACAGCTCACCAAAGTAGCAAAAACCACATTTTCCCGTGACTCTCCGCGAAAACGATTGTCATCTCTGTAGGCCAATCAGTGGTGAAAAGAAATGCGGCGATAAAACAACGTCTGATCAACGTATCAATATGAGTGAATACCGGAAACCACTTACTCGATGCACCATCTCCTGTAAGACTTCTCGTCTCCCCCCCCCCCCCCCCCCCCCCCCCCCCCCCCCCCCCAAACCACCCCCCCCCCCCCCCCCCCCCCCCCCC